CACAGGTCAGTTTTTGCCCTCTGTTCCAAAACTAAAATAAAAATGCATGCATTGTTTCTGAGCACTTTCTCGTGGAAGGTGGTTTAGCACTTGTCAACCTATATATGCTCTGTATGTTACTGACCTTGTTAACGCCGTCACAAACAGCAGAAAGTGGGCTGTGCATGTGCTCTGTGCCCCTGGAAAAAGATCAGCATAGTGCGGTCCTGCAACTGTAGCAGTTGCATTTAAGATAATCTTCTCTACATGTAGTATTTGTACAGAAAAGCAAGAAGAGATTTTGCTTTTTTTCCCCCCCTAATTGGTATATTTAAGCTTAATTAAACCTAGGGGAAGTAAATGCATCTCTTAATTCACTGCTACAAGAATTTTGAGGTTCAGAGTAGATGACTCATCTACCAGAACAGAATTTATTCTTTGTTTGTAAATGCTATTTATTGCCTTGTTTTGCATCACTATGGCTACTGTATGTCATTGGTGATATCAGCACCTACTGTACATAAAATGAATGCAAGACTGAATTTAAAAGAGATGTAGCTCTTATAATAATTTACTTGTATCAACCACTTTTCTGTTGTGTGTAAGTACTTCTCAAATGAAAGCAGCAGCAAAAGTGGCTCAACATCTTTCCATCAAAACTGGCTGAAAATTAAAAAATTCTCCTGCACACAAATTGTATCATAGGTAAAAACCCACTTTTTTCAGATTCTGTGGCTTTATAAACAATTCAGTGATATCCTACAGGTGATTTTGGAGTTTTAGGTGAACTGATTTGCAGTGGCATTCTCAGTTATTTTACTTCTAGTTATTTTTAGTGTTAAATACCTAGTTAAGCTTGTTAGAAGCATCACTGCTTTCACAGCCCATATAGATTCTTCTGCCTTCCTTTACTGTTTCTAAGTGGAGACTGAGAACAATTAGTCTATTCCAGTTAAAGCCTAATTCTTTTGCCAACTGTATGGCCCCATGTTCTTTTCTGAAACACATCAAGTACAATCACTTCTGCCATCCTATTCAATCAAAACCTTAAGTTGCACAGATTTTGTGAAATGGCCTGGGCTTCAGCAGCTTGAGAGCTGATTCATTGAGGCATCTGCTGTAACACTGGCAGGACTGTCACCATTTCCCTAGCCAGAATCATTTGTCTTTATAATTTAGAAATAATCTGTGGGGTATAATGTGGTCTTAGGGAAGCACGGAGACTGTTATTGCTCAATAATTGGATTTCATGAAGTCCTAACAACTTCTTTGAGCTCATATGACACATTTGACAGTGCATGTGTGGATGTCTATCTCCAATGTCCCATGGAATGAGGACGGAGAAGTGTTTTAAACACTTCATACATATTGAAAGGCTGCTAAAATAAACCAGCCCACTGTCAGTGACTGCAGAGGTCTGCTGCTGGTTAGTGGGGACCAGCCCCCAGGACGCACCGCAGTGAGACATATCTTCTCTGTGGTAGACAGGCCTAAGACTTCATAAATCCTGGCCGCCTACAAAGCCTCCAAGATTGTTTCCACCCAGACACACACTTTCTAATTTCCCTCATCTGCAAAAAGGATCTAAAGAGAAAGATGTTCATCTTGGACATGGTTGGAGCATTGGGCCCTGTGCTTCTCCAGGCTCATGGCTGGGTCTGACTAACAGGCAGGGTGAAAGCCCCCCAGACCAAGTCTTCCCAAAGAGCTGGGGTGGGAGAGCGGGGTCCTGTTATGGCCCAGTGTGGTCATCTGCAGAGGGGCAGCAGGAGAGGTGCAAAAGGGTCCCTCTGAGACCAAGGCAGAGACCAGGATGGGGAAAGAAGGCACGAGCACCAGGGGTGATCAGAGGGAGGAGGCAAGGAAGGGAGTGCTGCTTTCCTTTTAGGCAGGGAAGGGTCCAAGGGCACAGCTCTGTCCTTCTAAGTGCTGTCTTGGGGTGTAGAAACAGCTGGAACAGCCCATGGTCACTGCTCCAGGAAAGGGTCTCTCATTTCCAGATCACCAGTCCCTCAATGTTGTCATCCATGGGTGACCAATGGTGTGGCCCACTAGATGCTGCAAGAATAAAAGCACATGTCCAGAAAATAAATGTATTTTATTGACGAGGGGGTTTGTGGTGTCCTGATGTGTTATCCCCAGGGTCCAAAGGTCCAAGCAAGGGCAGGGAGCTCAAAAGTCTCTTCATAGCAGACAGAATCTGCCCCTGTTCTACTGTGCTAAGGCTCTGGGAGGATCCAGATTGTGTGAGCTGGAAGATGCCCAGAGCAGGAGTTTGCTGAGTTTCAGAGCCTGGTTCTGCTCTCCTGTTGTGTGTGCCTGTGTACCAGGAAGCATTGCTGTTTGATTCAGCGTCCGTTGGGTCCGAGGCTGGTGCTTCAGGGCTTTTCCCTTAGCTGAAAGATGACTATGGGGTCAGGTCCTGGGCCACGGCTGAACTCAGGTGTCTCCTGGGTCTGCTGTGCTCTTTTTTCTAATATGATGCAGTGGGAGTGAAAGTCTCTGCGATATCACGCTGCTCTGTGCTACAGCTAATTAAAGTAATTGTGAAGGGTTTTGTAGTAATTGCAGATAATATAAAATTTAGTTTTGTGGGGTAATTGGTAATGTAAGCCTGAAACAGTTATCCTTTAGATGTTTTAGTTTGCATTTCTCAGTAGGAGCAGCCTTTACAAAGAAGGCTTTTGTGTGTGAAGCAGGACCAGAATTAATGGCAGCATTTAGTCATGCCTAAAGGGGTGCTCGCTGTGGCAGGTGGCAGGGCGGTTTAATTGATGATGCCCACGTTCTGCGTGCTGCGGGCTCCAGCAGCCAGTAGCTGCTGTACCTGACAAATGCCAGCTAGGGAGAGTGACATGCCCAGGACCAAACCCAACCAGGGCTGATGTGTTCCCTTCCAAGACGAACGTGGCTCCTTCAGTCTGTAGGTCAGAGTGGTTCAGGCTCTGTTTGCTCCTACATGCTTAATGCTCATTATGAAGTTTTCAGTCATCCTCAATTTTTTCCATAGAATGCTGTATCTATAAAGCTCAAATGTGTGGAAAATTCTAATGCTGTAGAGACATGTGGCTACCCAGCCATGGGCTGGGCTGAGCTCCCTGCGGCGGGGGCTGCAGCTGGCTCTCACCCCTCTGCTCTGGGCTGCCAACGTGCCTGGTGGAACAAGGAGAGTGTGAGGGCCAGCACTGTAGTGCCTCGGGTGCCAAACAGCACAGAGGGATGCTTAATGGGCACATAAGCCACTTTGGTTCCTAAGTCCCCGATTTAAATGAGATTTAGGTGCCAAACCTTCCCTGATGCGTTTGAAAATTCCACTCGACACCTCTCTGAATGGTTAGGCAAGTAAAGACTACTGAAAATCTGACCCTTAGACACCAATACAGCTGGTGTGTCTGGAATTAACAGTTTAAAAAGAAGTGCTGTCTCATAACTAGCTTCTCATACCTAGAAGAGACATCTGGGAAGAACAAATATTGAAGATGTTATGAAGAATCAATATGAGAATTTAATTCAAGGCTGATATTTCCATGAGTAATTTTTTTTGGTCAACAGACAGAGTTTCTGAGCTTGTATATTATTAATGAAGTGGTTGCTGATAACATAGAAGGGCTCATATTTTCCTGCTTTTTTTTCTGCTGATGGCTCTGGGACTCTAATGGGGCTCCTCTCTGCTCTCCTTGGGGGGCAGCGGGGGCCGATGCCCTGCTCTGCATCACAGCATGCAGTGGTAGTAGGAGGCTTGGAGGGCCAAGGAAACAGTTCTTGGGAAACTCTTTAGGAAGGACAATCTGTAACATGATTATTTTAACAAATATGAAAACCCCAAATCTTTTGTTAAATTAGCTGTGAGGCCAAAGCTCAGAGTTGAGTTTTACAATTCTGATTTAATATTCACAGCATGACAGAGGTGATGAACACACGGGAACCGGTGATGGAAGAATTCACGCTCAGCCAGACTCCTGAGGAAGAAGGAGGACCTTCAAGCCAGGTAACTCTAGAAAAACTAGAGAGGATTCTGAGTTGCTTTGGAAAAGCAATGTAATGCGACCAGTAACTGTCATGCCCATAGATGTTGAATTGCAGAGCACAACTGCCAGAAGAACAAGCCCTGAAAGGCATGTTGGATCCTTTTATTTTTTATTTTTAGGTGTTTTAGGTTTTATTTTTAAAAGGTGGAAGGTTTTTAGGTTCTGATGGGAGGGTTTTGTCAGGTGCCAGGCTGCTGGGGCATGGTGGCAGCAATGTCTTGCCCCTGTGGGGATGCAGGGAAAGGGGGGGTTTGTCACCAAGGGTTCAGATCTGAGCAACCATCACGTGAGGAAGGCATCCAGCCAATACTGTACCACAGCTTTTATACAGCCACTCTTGTAATGAGCTAAGTTTCCTTGGGCTCAGAGGGAGCTCCCTTTTTAGAAAAGAGACCGTTTGAAACAATGATGTAATTCCCATAAATGGCTGTGGCATGGTAGCAGCAGCACTGGTCACGGCCATTTGCTGGCAAGTGCAAGAGCATTTTTTGTCCCCAGGGGGGTCTCAGACACCCACTGGGGTACCTGCCTGCAGTGCTGGTTCCAGCAGGAGGGATCACCATGTCTCGACCTCCTTGTGAGACCCCCATGCCCCAATTTGTGCTGTGTGATTGTACTTGTGACTCTTGGTGTCACTGCTGGGGACAAACCACCTAAATGTCTCCCAGTGGACCTGAGTTGCTTCTCAACACAAGATGTATTATTGTGAGCAGACTCAGAAAGCTACTCTAGGAGCTAAGGCTGTTGCAGGTTAAAGTCAAGTATTTGGAAGCCAGGCAAGTAAGAACTGAAGTTTTGCAAATTCCTTTTAGATCACCTGTGCATGTAATGAAGGGCTGTATGCAATTAAAGAGCAGACCATAGCCTTTCCCGTGCCTCGTTGACCGCACAGGATGGATGCTGCTCACTCGGAGAGCATGTTTTCAATATTCTCTTTCCTCTTTTTCACTGGCACATGTTTTCATCATTGTGTTAGTGTACACTGTCCATACTCCGTGCCAACTCCAACTCCACGTACGTCTTTACGGCTTTTCTATGGTGTCCCTGATCATGTGCTCCAGAGGTTTTCCCCCAGCTCCTTTATCCTACCTCTCCACGAGAAGGTGATCCCATCCATGTTTTAGTGATGGCCAACTGAGGCAAAAAAGCAAAAAGAAACAAGAGGTAGCCCACAGTCAGTGACTCAGTGGGAAAACTAGGTTTCTTCCAGCAACTTCCAAGTGCTCTGGCCAGGAGACCGGTCCTTCTCTTCCTGCAGTCTCCTGCCCACTTGTCACACGCTCCAGCTTCCTCAGAAAAATACAGTGAGGCCCGAAAGGCAGCTCTGCTTCCTGCCAGTCCTGACTCATTCCTGGAGAGACCTGGTAAATATGGGCTCTGGTGGAAAAAAACATTATGTGATTGGTGTGAGAAAAGACCATATGAGAATAACACAAACTAAAATAGCCAAGCTGAGGCTGCACAGGTGCCTTTCCTAAATTTTGTTGCACCCATAATAATCGGCTCAGAAAATTTTTAGATTAGTATGTGTCATTTCCTAGGGCTTTAGAAAGCAGATGAAAAAGTGGAAATTTTGTTGCATTGGATCCCCCTACCAGGGGTTGCCACCAGGGTTGGGGATGGGGTGGTTCTTGTGCAGCCCTCTGCCACCCGAGCAGGCTGAGCAGCAGCCCGGGGAAGAGGTCACTGCCACCTGCACGTGCAGCCCTGGGAGGATATAAGGCAATTTTCCCACAATTTTATGGCTATTTTCTGCCAGCAGAGCTGTGAGGCTTAGGGATCTGGGCTCCACCATAGCTCTGAAGAAGAGTGCACTGCTGCTCAGGGGTGTCTCTGGACCTGTCCTGGCCAGGGAATTTTCACCTTGTCTCATATTTGGAAATAACGGGATCATATTGGCAACTTCTTATAAATTCCTCTGAATCAAGACAGCTGCCATGGAAATTTGTTTCATGCATGTAATGGGAAGTTGGGGGACACTTTTCTGATAGGCAGGATGAGTAGCATTGCTTCATCAGGACGAGTTATTCCCATGTGAGTGCAGCTCAGGGAGGCATCAGGAAGGTTTTACCTTCACTTGGTCCAGCTGCACTGAAGGGGCTTTCTCGCATGGAAAATTCCTTTAGTTGTGTCTCACTTTGCAACACTAATGATAATTTATAACATTTTTTACTTTCATGTAGGTTTGCAAAGAGTAATGAATCCCCACAACACTACTATGGGGAGTGAGGGCATGAGGGTAATTATTGTCCTTCTCCATCTCCAGAAGTCACGTACAGGCATCACAGCAATGGTAAAAATGTGCTTGCTGCTTTCCAGACACGTAGGAAGAGAATTGCCCTTCCCAAGGGCTTGCCTCCCCATGCCATTTCTGATGCTACTTGGGACAACAAAACCAAAAGGTCTTAGAGAGAGCAGTTAATGGGATGAAGGAAGGTTGCAAAAGCTGTGGAGCAAATACCTACAGTGAGTTATGACACTACAACCCCTAGGTTCCTGGCAATGTCCTGAAGGGTGTGCCCAGTTTTATGGTGGTTAGGGAGTATTATAGACTCATTAAGGTTGGAAAAGACCTCCAAGATCATCAAGTTCAACTGTCAAACCAACACCACCATGCCCACTAATCCATGTCCTGAAGTGCCATGTCTATGTGTTTTTTGAACACCTCCAGGGATGGTAACTACACCACTTCCCTGGGCAGCCTGTTCCAATGCTTGACCACTCTTTTAGTAAAGAAATTTATCCTTAGATTGATATCCAATCTAAACCTCCCCTGATGCAACTTAAGGCCATTTCCTCTTGTCTTATCGCTTGTTATTTGAGAGAAAAGACCGACACCCACCTCACTACACCCTCCTTTCAGGTAGTTGTAAAGGGTGATAAGGTCTCCCCTCACCCTCCTTTTCTCAAGACTAAACAATCCCAGTTCCCTCAGCTGCTCTTCATAAGGCTTGTTCTCCAGACCCTTTACCAGCTTCGTTGCCTTTCTTTGGACCATGGACAGTCCAGCACCTCCATATCCTTCTTGTAGAGAGGGGCCCAACACTGAACACAGTACTAAGATCTGTGTATTTCTGTCTGTGCTCTTAGCAGGAGCTGTGCAGAGACTGGCTCACGTAACCAGCAGTGCTCAGTCTGACCAGACACCCCGACTCAGTAGTGAACGTGTTGCAAATGTGTCGGGAGGTTCTCACCAGCACACAGCAAACTTGTGGCAGCACCTGGAGTTAAACTGGGATGATTGTTGCTCTCAACCCCTAGTTCAGTCCCCTAGTCTGCACCTTGATTTTAGGCTTACAAATAAAAGAAAAGAAAAGAAAAGAAAAGAAAACTCAGCTAGCACGGAAAAAAATACAGCCTGTTAGTGCAGGTATGTGGATGTTTGAGAAGCCAGGAGATAAAGTATCAGCAAAACAGCAGTTTGTCTTATGTTAACATCCATGAGGAGCTAGAATTATTTTTCCTCAAAAAAAATCCCCAGAAAAAAACCTCAGTCCAAAACAAAGTACCCTGAGAGATTTAAATGAACCAGCTATGTTGAAAGCAAGAAAGCATTTTTATGTGTTACAATATCCTTCACTAAAAAGATGTAGTTCAGCTTCAAGCTCTAATCGCTGCATAGTGTTTCACCTGCAGCTTCAATGTGACAAATGAAAATAATAGCTGGCACCATCCTCGGTGTAAAGATGATCTCTGGGGCGACCTGTTTTGCATGAATGCATCGTAAAATACAGTGCTTCACATTACAGAAAATAGCTCTGCAGAATGGTGGTTTCTTAATAAACTGTCACTGCAAGAAAACATTAATTTCATATCAGGGTAAAAGGACAGCAGCTAGAAGGGCTGCAGCAGCCATTTAGCTTAGCGTTGCAGCAGTGACCTTTCTTTCCTGAAACCCACCAGAACTGAAGCACAATTGTGTGTTTTGTAATGAATTTTGTTGCCCAAGTCTTCATTTTTACTACACACATCAGATCACACAAGTCACAGCACTCATCTCATCTGCTTGACGCACTGGTGAGCAAAACTGGGTTTCTGGTCCTGGTCTTTGCCCAATGAGGGATAGCACGTGCAGGGGAGAGTGTGCTGAGACCTATTAGTCCCTCTGCATCCACACTTGGCCAGTGAGGAGCTGGAAACAGCTGCTTTCAAAATCCTCTCTGTGCAGGACTGCTCGCCCTGCACCAGTTTGAAGAGTTTTTTTGGTGGACGTAGGAGTGCATGTCAAATGTAAAAAGGATGCTAAGATGGAGTGTGTACTCTGCTTACTCTGAATATGCATCCCTGGGCAAGGCTTTGATGAACATATCCCCAAATGTGTCACCAGGCCTTCCCAGACTCACGTGAGAAGTATCCCAAGCTGTCCAAGAGACTGCCTTCGATCGTGGTGGAGCCGACTGAGTCTGGGGAGGTGGAGAGCGGGGAGCTGCGCTGGCCTCCTGATGACCTGAAATCAGCAGAGGACAAGGGTCTTCATGGTGACCAAAGAGTCTGTGTCCAGCAGCACCAGCAACAGCAGCAGCAGCAGCAGCAAATGGATCTGGAAGGTCTGAATGAGTAATTTTCATCCTTTTTCTCTGTAAGAAGATAATTTCAGGCCATGCCATGCACTGAAGTTAATAGTGTACCAAAGAGCAGTAGGTGCTTGAAGGTGCCTAGAAACACACGCACTGGAAAGGGAGCCCCGTGGACTGAAAATTTCCTTGTATCTTTTGAACACATGGTGCTTTCATCCACATCAGGCTCACTTACGTGGCCACTTGCATGGCCAACAGGCTGTTTACTGGATGTTAGTAGTTCACTTTAGGAAACAGTGATCGTGTTCAACAGCATATATCTACCTCCCTGCCTCCTAGCCTAGAAGCAAAGTGTTTAACAGCTGCACATTTTCAAAGAATCATGGTGTCCCAGGAGTGCATTAATGTAGCAGGAGCTCACAAATATGTAGATATGACTAGTAATGTCACTGTGGGGTAAATATGGCTAGAGATAAGAGCTTGTTGGAGTGTAGTTTGTGCAGTAAATGCTCCAGTGTGGAACTGGTCTATTTATTTCTGTTTCTTTTTCTTCTCAGTGCTCTCCTTTTCCCTTAAAGAGTGACATGGTTTCCATTTCAGTGCACCATTTGCCACCCAGGTGCCCGGAGACAGCAGCCAGGATTGGGTGCGAGATGCACCTTCCCTTACCTTCAAAGGGATGATGACAAATGGTCATCACCTGTCAAATCACTTGCTATTCCAGTTGACATTTCTGGGTGGTGGCAACCACAGGGTTTGATCATTCAAAGAAGAAACATGAGCCAAATCTATGGCCTGACCTCCAGGTTGCACATTATGGCCTCTGTGTTGGTTTTGTGTGGCGCTGTTAGGACTCATTATGTCTTCAGAACTGAGAGTTTGAGCAGATTTCACTAAGAGAGCAGATAGCTCTCCCACTATGGTGACTGCCCTGCTTTTTATGAGAGGGATCATCACCTCATTTGACTACCTGTCCTGAGGTCTGACATCCCCTGTAAAGTCAGGCTGTGATGCACTCAGAGTACCCCACTCCAGGTTTAACTACTGTCTTGCAAGTCAAGTGGATTGTTTATGTCAAGTTCGAGCACCATGGAGGATCATGTACCTGGTGGAACAGGGAATCAAATTAAGGCTGTTGTACCTGTATGGGGAAATAAACACTGATGAACTATTTATTTGCAGATACTTTAGCACACCTGGCTCAAGAAGTGGAAGACAGTACAGATACCCTGGAAAGCAGAACTGAAGAGGATGAGTAGGGACTCCATGGCCTCAGAAGTGAAACTTCATTGTGAACGTTGTTGGAAAGCTGACACACTCTGAAGACATGTCAAAGTAATCTGTATTTAAATCTGCAAGGGTTTTATTTAGTTAGTACCTGGTAAGAAGCGTCTGGGCTTTAGAACTGTTCTTTTCAACATTTTGATTTTCAGGCTGGGATTCATATTATTTAATTTTTCCTTGGGAAACAATGGGACATGTTAGGAAATATGAGATTATCAAGGAAAAATGCTCCTAATTTCAATTAGCACATTTAATTGGATTTACCTTTTTCAAACAAGGCTGCTTTCAGGTATCAACAGCAGGACAAAGGGGTTACATTTCTACAGGAGGGATGTCTTAAATCTAAAACCTTTCTTGTTTTTAGCCATTTAAAACTAGCACTGTGATATTATGGACAATAGATGTAATATAATGTCACCATTTGATTTTGTAACTTTTGTATAGAGACACAAGTGTAAGATTTGCCTCCAGGCTGCTACCCTGGGGTGGCCCAGAGCAGTTCTCTCCCTTTGGCTAACCTGTGCAAATTCGGATCAACCAGCCTTTTCTTAGCCGCCTTTTCAATAAGGCTGATGCCTTTTGGAAACGCTTTCTTGCTGTACATTGCCGAGGCGGATTAGGTAGTCGCTGGTGTGTGTGGAGTGAGGCTGTCTGTTGTAGGCTTGGTCGTACTGTTCGTTCGCTCTTCAGGCCCAGGTCCAGCCGTGGCGTGGCACCCGCTCCTCTCCCTTGAAGCCAGTGAGATGTCTCCCGCTTCTGCCAGGGCTGGATTTGTCCCACCTTGTTAATAGAAATTGTTGTGACAGTTCTTCTTTTGGTATGTTCTGTGTGTAACGTCAGTGCAGAGGCCCAGCTGTTTCTCCCTCAACCTGAGCCAGGAGGAGGTTGGGGGTGGGTGACAGGAGCTCCATAGCACTGCCAAAACCTGCCCTCCATTTTGCCTGACACCAGGTCCTTCCCAAGCCACCTGCAGTAGCAGGGGGTGGAGAAGGACCAAAGTGGTGGGACACACTCCCACCTCCCTCCCGTCTGAGTGGCGCGGCCAGTAGGAGCACCGGCACCGCGGCTGCCCTCACCTGCGGCATGGCCCCTTGGCTTTGTTTGCATGGCCACCTCCTGGAGACCAGAGCTCACGGTGGGACAAGCTGTCTCTGGACACCTCAGGCCTTCAGTGGATTTTCCTTGGGATTTGGGGGCAGTTTTGACAGGGGTGAACCTGTCTCTTCATGGAGACCTCCCAGAGACTTCCTCCCACCATCCCAGGAGAAGCACTGATCTCAGCCCAAAACACTACCCATGGGACAGTGTTGGTGGAGACAGGTAATGCACGTACTCAGAAGGGTTTGACTGTGTCAGTGATGAGTGTCCTGTAAGCTATGAAGCTGGCTTTCTCCATCTCTGCAGGGCTGGATGGGGTCTGTACTTCCAATTAATGTTGCAGCCGGAAGAAGCCGCTCTCTGTAGGTGGAATGAAATAACAGGATTTCTTCCAGCATTAACTCCTAAGTTGACTACCAAGTGCTTTCTTTTCTCCAGTAATAATTTTCTCTAACAGCAACTTTTAATTGTGTGATGATGGATAAAATTTACTGGCCAGATGTATTAATAAGATAAGTTTATACATTCTTAGCAACCAAATTTAATATATTTACTTACAAAGAATTCTGTGCAATGAATGTTTAATACAAAGGAAAGAGACTATTTTACTTCAGAGCAACATTAATTTATGTACAAAACTATAGCTCATTATTTGGGGTGTTTGGGACCTAGACCCCTTTTTATAAGCAGTGTAGTATAGTGTAGTGTGATACTTAAGTTAAACTTTGCTCTCTCAACCTATATAACAATCTATTTTGCCTTCTTGATGTAGACTCTCTTACCTATGCCGTCACAGAATTATTTTGTTGGATGAGTGGGATTCTGGTCAGAGCACCGAATTTCACCAGAGCAACTGAAGGTTTCAGAGTACCTCCTAAATCTAGCTGCTGACCCCATCACTCCCTTCGCTGGTGACAGTTTTCTGCCAAAGCCAGTGAAGTGAGAACAAGCTCAAGATGTGTGTTTGGGAAGCACACGAGCAGCGAGAGGAGGTCCCCGGCATGGACCCGTCTGCAGCTGGTTCTGGTGGGAGGAAAGCTGCGCTGGCAAGGCGGCCGGGAGGACGTGAGGTGCTCTTTAAATGCTGCTTTTGCATCGACCGTCAAGAAGTTTTTCAAAGCTCTGGAGGAAAAAAAAATGACGGTGACGACATATTTTTAGCTGTGTGATTTCCTTTCAATCTGCGTCTGCCCAGCTCCGTGAGGAATGACGTTAGACATATCACTTAACTTGCTTTTCACTTTATAAAAGGAAAAACAGTTGTTTGAAACATTTCCCCCAATTTTTTTGTGCTCTCTATCTGCTTTCAGACGCTCCCTCCCTTCCTGCTCTGGATGGCCCTTATCCTATTTCCACCTGAGGTCAATGGCACTTCCCTAAATAAGTTTTCCAAAGAAACAACAAAATTCCATGTACACCCTGAAAAAAAAACGCCACGCAGCAGTACTTTTTTCGTCCTAGTATGTAGAGCTACAGCCCATATAGAAATGCCAGATTTCCTCCTTCCAGCCTAATTACTCCTCTCTTTCCTTTTCCTTCTTTCATGCTGCTCCCTTGAATTATTTTACCTGAAGTAAATGGATGCTTCAAACTAAAGCTCTCTCTTAAAGCCGTGTGGCCTCAGTTTAACAACCATGGAAAGCCAAACTCCTCCTCCCAGTTTTATTTTTCTGAACGTGGACCAGAGGCCCTAAAATAGGAGAGCAAGATAGAGAGAAAATTGTTTTATACAAACAAGCCCTATTTATTCAACTTGCAGGTCTATGAATATCCACTTAACTTGTCTGTGTGCAAGTGTTGTCTCTCTTATAAACTCAGTAGTTGTTTTGTATTTTTTTCTGGATTAAAAGCTTTGTAGAAACTAAAAAGGAAAAAAAAAAAGACATTCAGTCATATTTTTCTAGTCTAGCTTGTAGAATATTTCATGTAGTGCAGAAAGGAAGTTTTATGGAGTAAGATATTGTTGGATTTTGCTCTATTTCAGTTCTTTCTAATTTTGTAAAATGCCACCTGTACATAATACTCAACTAATGTATGTCCTGTAGATGTATTGCACCATTTAGCCTATTAAATGCCTATACTGGACCGATTGGAAGAAGTGGTGTACCCACAGTGTCTTGGTTTAAAAATGCAAAGGGTTGTTTACGGTGGTCTGCGGCTCCTGTCCCACCACTAATACAGCTAATGCAGGGGAACAAAGCCCGCTCTATCGCATGTCTTTGCCCCCTGGCATGCAGATACTTGCACTGCCCCTCCATCCCACATGTCCTACACAGATAAATTCAGATTTACATCAGAGGCAGTTGCCATCTCCTTTGAGCCCTTCCTAGACCAGGCAGCTCAAAGCTCACTGCTGCTGTCTTGGGATTTTCTTGCTGCCCCTCTTGGCGTGGCCCCTTCGCCCTGGGTGGCACCCTGCCTTGCGTGCTGTGCTAGCAGCGAGCCAGTTGGCTTATCTTCATTCACCTTTTAATGCAATGCACATTTCTAACTTTTTCTGGAAAGGCTGTTGTGGAGCCCAGCAGGAACTCCCATTACAAGAAACCTATACCCTGTGCAAGGAGAGCGAGGTCATGTGGCAGAGAAGATGAGAGGCGGAGATAGTCTGCCACTGAACATTTTTTCCCAAACTGTCAAGTTACCAAAAAGCAAAGGACCACTTTCCCAGTTCAAAAGCAGCTGAATATTACCATGAATATATCAGCATGGCAAAAAGCATTGCCTGGGGTCAAAGACAGTTTCTCCCCAGCCAGGCTGGGAACCTGCTGCTGCTGCAGGTCTGTGCCTGGGGAAGTGGTGGCATCGGTCAGGACATTTTCTGTATCCGAGGCTGGAGACAATGAGCCCAGCTTTGGCACTGCAGCGCTTGCAAACCTGATCCTTAATGTCATTTGGTACTGGAGTTTCCATGCACCATGCATGGAAAATCTCATGTCCAGGTGTATATTACCCCGGGGTGGTAGAGGGACTGACACTGCCTCCTGCTCACCTCCCCAGGAGCCGTCCCTTCCTTCTGGGGTTTTCCTGCATGGTGTATGGTGCTCAGACACATAAGGATGCAAGAGGTACTGCCTGAGGCTCCAGGGGATGCAGCTGAAACTGAGGCAGATTTTGTGTTGCTGTGAGATCTGTGGCTGAGTGCTGGCTGGTCTCTTTGCTTGAGTTTGAAGGCAGAGGGAGTTCATCTGTAATTAATTATATAGGATGATCATGGGAACACTGTTGTTTTGCTCCCAACATTTGTATTTTAAACTTAAATCCACTGGATCCTCAAGTTCATTTAATGTTATCCCACATATTATGAGACATTTAAATTTATCTTTAATCAGAAATCTGCTTAGTATTCTTTCTTTTAGGTGCATTCTGCTTGACGCTCCTGTCTAAAGGAGCCAATAACATTTTCTGTGGAATTAGCCTTTATTTAAACCACTAGCAAGAGATGGAAACTGGCTTTTGTGACAATGTCATGTCTAAATCAAATCAATCCTAATTTGGTTTTTTAACTTTTTTTTTTCCCAAATCCAATGTTTGTGTTAGTTCTTTTGCAGAGAAAGGTGATCCCTGGCAGCTACAGAGAGCCATGACCACATAACAAACAGCACATCCCTCACATTCACATTATAAAAGCTGTTACTCATATGCAGTGCTTCCACCACAAATGAGAGCAGAGCATCCTTCTTCCCTTTGTCTTTGAAAAATGTATTGTGCCTTTCATTTCAGAGACAGTAACTCTCCAAAGTTGAAATTCACTGAGTTCTGGAAAACTAGGATTTTAACAAAGTTTCTGTTTTTTTCTCTTAAAAAAAAAATCGTAAAAAATAAACTTGAAACATTAAAAAGCTGCAGTTTTCCTCTAAGAATGGTGATAAAACATTTT